TGTTGGAATTAGGGTTTTGGTGGTCTTGTTTTTCCAGCCTCCTTAGGTGACTTGTTAGGCTGTTAACTTGTGATCTTTCTGTTCTCTTCATGTGTGTTTGTAGAGATATGAATTCCCCTCTTACTACTACTTTCATGGCATCCCAGAGGTTTTGGTAAGATGTTTCTTCATTTTCATTTGTTTCCAGGTATTTTTTAATCTCTGTTTTAATTTTCATGTCGACCCAGGAGTTGCTTAGCATCATGCTGTTTATTGTTCATATCTTTGTGGGTTTTTGGAGAACTTGACATGCAATTGGTACCTTGGTATTAGGAACTTCTATTTATGAAATGACAGAACGTTTATCTATATTTTGTTATATTGAAAAACATTTTTTATTTTAAAGTGACCAAGTTGGATATTTAGCTAAGGTTATTCTAAGCAATGTGTTGAACATGTGGACTAGTTTTATTTTTTCTTGCTGATTTTGAAAAATGTGAAAGAAGCAAGATAAGTTAAAGAAGAAATTGTTAATTAATGCATAACAAGATGCTCTGCAAACAAATGTAATTCTAACATCCTCTAAAAATCCCTCAAAATTTATAAGGTTACAAACTTTTAGCTGCATTTCTGCATAGCAAAGATTTGATTAATATAACGTTGTAATCAATTAGTTAAAAAATGGAAGATAATAAAAAAGTTATAGAATACTTTTACACCAAGCATTAAGTTTCAACCTAATTTGTATTCTAATCTAAATCTTTAAAAGATAAACTTCAGAGGAATTGAAACAAGTAACCATAAAATTGCAATGTTTAGTGGCTTCTAGGAAGAATTGAACTAATAATCTTTTGATGAATCATAACTCAATAGTAAAACTGTGTTCAATTATCCAAATTAGTGAGGGGCTGCCAGAGGGGAAATACTCACATTTCTCCTCTTTAGAAATACTGGAAAAATTCAGCTTACTACCGGGGTCCCTGGGCCCCCAAGAATAAAGACAGAAGTTTGGACCCATTACAATGTTTTCAGACACCATACTCACTGGGTGGTTTGATTGGTGAGTGTTCTTTCTTCTATGAGTCCAGTGTGTGAAGAGTAGGTATGGTAACTATTTCTTCTAATGAGAAGAGAGCCTCATACAGTTTGAAGAAAAATGAAGAACAGGGAAACATAATCCAAACAGAAGACAACATAACTCTCCCCAAATTGACAGCAATGGAAAAATAAATATATAAGTTAACCTGCAAAAGTTTAAAATAAACTTTATAAACATGTTAAGTGTCCTAGGAAAAGGGAATTTTAACAACACCAGAAAACATTTTAAAACACTACCAAAAAAACATTATTGATGGAGAATGCAATAACTAAATTTAAAAAATAAATATTATAGAGTAGAAAAAATGAAAAAAGAAACAGTAAACTAAAATATATAATATATAAAACGAAACTAAACTAATATATATATATAAAAACTAAACTAAAATTATACATATATATATAAACATATTTTGAAATGATACAGATAGAGGAGACACAAAAATTAAATAAAGCTTGGGTCAGACACTACACTGGAAAACAAAATAAACATTTAGGAATTATACAAAGTTGAGACACACATGAGAGAGAGAGATAGAGAGATTACTCAAGAGAGTGAGCAATAAAAATTATTCAAAGAAATAAGTGCTAGGAAATTTCTCAAATCTGGAGAAGAAAATATTTATCCAGATCCAAAAAGAAATAAGTCCTGAATCAGATGAACCTGGATGAAACAATATCGAGATACTTTATAATCAGATTGTTAAAATTCAAAGGGATTTTTGAAAAGAGTATGAAAAAGTGACATTTCACCTGAAACAGAACCATCTTAAAAACATCAGCAGATTTCATGGCAGAAAGTTTTCAATTCAGAAGGAAGACAGGTTTTATACAATGATGTGTGGCTTAATGACAAGAACACATTCTGAGAAATGTGTCCGTAGGCAATTTATAAACTGTGCAAGCATTATAGAGTATATTTACACAAACCTAGAGAGTATGGCCCAGTACACATCTAGGCTACATGGTACATATTCCTTGTAACAAACATATTAACATGTTGCTGTAATAAATACTGTAAGAAACGATAACACTATGGTGTCAGTGTATTTTAAAAACATTTAAACATGGAAAGGAAGCAGTCAAAATAAAGTATTATAATCTCAGGACAGATGATGGCAGGAGATGCACAGGTGACAAGGCCCTGAGTTACCAAATGTTGAGCATAAAATGCCAGCTTTATGAAGGGAACAGGTACACAACGAATATTAAAGTCCATAAGGAACCCAAGAGGTCACCTGAAATGAACATTACAGCAGATGGGCTTTTACACCTGCTCAGGGTGGCCTTCACATCCACAACAACCACCTGGTAAAATTTCCCTTGCCTGCTCAATGCGCTCACAAAAGAAAACCTGGCACAGCCTCTGCTCTGCCCAAAGTGCTGATGCATTGATGGGAAATTATTAGGAGACACAGGAAGACAATTCAAGACAAAAGGTGCTGTAACGTGCAGACCTCAAGGATGCCAGTGTAGATGCTATTGCAAGGGCACTCCATGAGAGTAAAGGGGATGTCTCTTGATGAACTGTAGTTGTGCATTTTGGGTATTGCTGTTCTTCTAAGTTATGTTTACCAGACTACAACATGAGCTCTCTTAGTGAAGTTTTTGTGAAAATAAACAATATTCTAAATGTTCCACAGCATTAGCACTCTCCAATTCAACTTCCTATATACTTTCTTCAACAGAATCCATATTCCACTTACTTCTCTCCATACCTCTCCTCTATCCTCTAAGTAGACCCCTGAGGATCCCATTTGGGTAAGGTGATGGGGAGGTGACCATCTGACACAAGTCCTGACTTGGGGTGGGGGATGTGCTATGTGCCAAGGCGATCTTGTGTGTGCAATGAGTGGGGAAGCCCTGGCAGGAGAGAATATTATCCCCACAGGAAGGCCCCTTTAGGTCACAAGGGAGAGGTTAGCTGTAAGGGGTGCAGGGGGAAGACGCAAGTGCAGGGGGAATGCATGAGTTGTAGGGGAGTGAGGGAGACACTTGTGGGGGGCAAATTTTGAGGGTTGGGTATGTGGGGGGTGGTGCATGAGTGACAGGATGTGGGAAGATGCATGACGGAAGGTTGCACGAGTGGTGCAAATGTGGGAGGAGATGCCTGAGTGAAGGATGCATGAGACGAGGGTGTGAGGGGAGATGCCTGATCAGGAAATGCATCAGAGGTGGGGGATGAAGGAAGGTACTTCCCAAGTGAGGGGGAGGCCTGAGGAGTGGTGGGGGCATTTGGGAAGACACATGACTGGGGGATACATGAGTGGTGGGGACATGAGAGATGGTAAAATTCGTGGGACATGCGTGAATGTTGAGGGTGTGAGGGTTGATGCATGATTGGGGGATGCTTGGCTGGCGAGAAAGTGGAAGTAAATAAATGGGGTGGATGCATGAGTGGTGGCGTGTGGGCGAAATGCATGAGTAGAGGATGCCTGAGGGGTGGGGTTGGTATAATTCGCATAAGGAGGGATGCTCAAGGATTGTGAATGCCGGAAAAGATGTGAGTGGAGAATGCATGGGTGGTGGAGTTATGGGGTATGGTGCTTCCAGAGAGAAGGCATGATGTTCCATCAAAAATAGCACTGCATCCATAGGACACAGCAGAGCGCAGGCCCTTTGTTCACCGTTCCCATCCATAGTCACTCACAAAGTGGGGGATTGCAGTGAGAGGTGTACAGAGAAGGATTACTAGGGTCTTCAATGAATGCTGAATGTGAGAATTTGGAGGAAGGTTCAAAGAGAAGATATCAAGATGTGTTTGAAAAAGGGATGGGAGTTCTATGTAAGCCCTGTGGATAAGAAAATTTCAGCTTTCACTCTACATGTATGTAGAAACTGCCAGTCTGACTACAGAATCATGCCGGTTTTCTGTGAATGAGGATGGAAGGAAGGAAGTATATTATCTTAGATTTGTGGTCCCTGTCTCTTAAGTACTCTTGCTGTATCTATCCTGCATTTAAAATTCCAATGTACTTGGAAATTGCAACTTAACATAAAATGTCATTCCCTTAGTTGTTTATCCAGTTAATGTCCCCTTTCCTTTAAACCATTTGGAAACGCAGAGATCCTCAATTTCCACCCCCACTGGCCTGCTGTTCTGCAAACCAGGTTTCTACAGTTCATCTCTACGAACCCAGCTGACCTTCACGCTTCAGTTCATTGAAATATGGAGTCAAGAAGGGAGGTGGGAATTAACACGCACAGATGCCGGCTCAGTGCTAGGGACCTTCAGGGCACTTTCACCTCTTTTTCCTCTTGAATTCCTATGGATGCCACATTCGACCTCCTGGTTGCAGTATCCCACCTGGGGGTGTCTGGGCTTCAGGTGGCACAGCCTATGCTTGGTGGAGGATTTCAACCCTAGTCTTTCCCACCCAATACCCACAGTCACCCCAGTGAGGCACAGGAAGCCTTGGCTGTGAGCAGCCCCCAATTGCCATAAACTGACTTTGGTCTTGAAGGAGAGATTGCCTGGAGAATGAGGAAAACCTAATGGCTCAGAAGTACACATCTGGAGAAATGTCATACATGTACCCTTTAAGGAGCCAGGGGCAACTTCCATTCATTTAGAAAGCAGCGACCTCAGGTGAAGACCCAGCTGCTGGCTCCAGTCCCCTCCCAGGCCAGTGCCTGAAGCTCACTTTAGTCTGCTAAGGACTTATAAAAGATGTAGACAACACTGACACTTGGTTTTGAAATGTATTTCAGAGTGAGCATCAAAAACCTACAAAGAGAACATTAGATAGAAACCAATGCCTCCTGTTACCCCATGATGTGAGTAAGGACCCCTGTGTCTCCTGCAGATTTCAAGAAATGTAGACGACTTGGACTTTGCCCTCTCTTCCACGGATTCTTTAAGCAGATGTTCCTTTTCCAATTTCTCTATTTTTACAGGGGTCGGGAGGTCGATTTATTCTTTGTTAAACAGGCTCACTAACTGTTGCTTCCTTAACAGTGACGGTCTTGATATTTCGCACATTTGTGGCCACCCCAAAGAGCAACGCGGCTATGAAGGCATAAATCCGACCAAAGAGCACTTGCAAATACAACACTGCTTCTTGACTTTGTGTCACTTTCCGCATTCTTTTTGGAAGGGGGCCGCTGTCTGTACTCCCACCGGAACCTGGTCTGAGGCAGCGTGGAGGGTCCCAACCCACATGGCAGTGGCAGTTCCTTCTGTTATTGCAAATACCTCTATAACTGCACTTCTCAGGGGGACAGTTGTAGTTCAGGTCCGTCACAGTCCCATTGCATTGGGCATTAAAACAAAACTTTCCAGGAGCACAAAGAGTACCATTCCTTACCTGTCCAACATCAGTTGTTTCTGTCCCGCGGTGTTCACCCACCGCTGAGCAGTCGAAACCTCCTTTCTGCACCTGCTGGACTCCAACATGATCCTGTAACCGGGGAAGATGGGTGACATTGGCACACTGCAGTCTCCCACACATTTTGTTGTTGTCGCCACAAGCGTAGGGCCTCCGTAATATTGACGGTCTGGTACAAAATCCAAATCGGGTCCCTTCTTTATTTATATCATAGCAGGAAACGTCACCCGGCAAAGCACTGGCACCAAAGATTTCCTTGCATTGCACTTCACGGTCAGTGCAGTTTCCCTGAAAGCAATAGCCTTCTTCACTGCAAGGGGTTCCGTCTTGCATATAAAAGTCTGTAGGGCATACCTGGTTGGCCCCACTGCAGTACTCTGGAAGATCACAAGTATTTTGGATGGGTCTGCAGAGAGTCCCTGCAGGGGAGTATTGGCAATCTGTGCAGCATGCTCCTATATGACAGTAACCGCCCATCTTGTAGCGGCAGTCAGTTGTGCAACACATATCGGCGTGACATTGCTTTAAGGAGCCACAGTCACATTGCTCATGATCGTCCACCACGTAGTTCCCACAGCGAGCTTGTACTGCGCTTTTATTGTAATACATGATTTGGTTGTCAAAAATACAGTTGCCGGTGACACCCGAAAGTATATTGTTTATATGTCCAAAGGTACAATTACTGGCTGCATCTGTCACTCCAGGATATCGTGCCATGATGCAGGAGGCCCTTCTCAAGCATCTGCACTCTGGCTCATCATAACGTACTCCAAGACTCCTGAGAATTCTGTTGGTTATTACAATAGCTACTGTTAATGCATGTCTTTCAAGTTGACCAATGTATAATAAATTATATTGTCCACAAATCCGATAAATCACTGGATCGTAATGACCTTCATGTGGCCCATTTTTGTTTATCAATAGAGATGAATGAGGGCGAAAGGTTTCATAAAAGTTTTGCCGATAATAAATAGACATTGGACTGTTGTTGCTATGGTCAGTCACGTCAGCTGGATCACGGACAGTATATAGGGTCAGAAGAGAAAGATAGAACTTCATGTCAGTGCCTTGAAGAATGCTGTCAACTATACTAGCAATATATAGAATCTCGTAGAGACACTTTGTATCATTTTGGAATTGACTACACATACTATGGGAGGCCTGACAATGGCCTCTTAACCAGCCACTATGGGAGCTATAGACCTTATGGGGGAGCCTTGGAGCCATGCTGATATTTGCTTCAGAAAAGAAGGGATCCAACTCCTTCTGTCCTAGGCTATATGTAGGCCCCGTTATATTGGGGTCAGCCACTATCTGGGAAACAATGTGCTCAAACCTGCTGGAACCCTCCAGAGGCTTGATTTCGTAGGCAAGGTCGTCCAGCTTCATAACTCCCTTGAGGCCACCAAAGCACGTGCTCATAGTGACCATGGACAGAGGAATCTCCTCCAGGTGGCCGAGGTAGTAGCAGTCTGAAGCGATGTAGGGGTAATCCATCTGCAAGGCTCCTTGGTCATCCTGGGTGGTCACCAGCAAGTGTCTGGGCCAAAAGAGTTTCTTCATCCGCATGCGGAGGGCATGTCTTTGGCCCCCAAAGTGCAGGCTGTAGGAGAGCCAGCCTGGCACCTGAAAGCCTTTGCCATGCTGTGCCTCCTTCTTCGGAATCACCACCTCAGAGGATGCATAGCGCCATAAGGGAGGGCCTGGGGGACCCTGGACTGGGGCTAAGAGTGTCCAGAGCTCCAGCAGCAAGAGGGAGACCCTGAAGGCGACCTGTCCCTCTGCCAGCCTCATGTCCCAGCTCAGAAGTATTCACCCAAAGAGATTGTTTCCGAGGAGTGTCTTCAGTGGAGCCAGGTCTGAACCATCTGCTGTGGCCACTTCACTGAAGGAGATGCTGACAGAGAACAAAGGCCTCTTCAGACTACCTGGGTGGGTCCATCAACAACCAGTGGGATGAGGTAACAATCACAGGCGTGTCAGTGGATGGGCCTGGGCACTCTAACAGCTACCATACCTGGGTTGTGGCTAGAGTGATGTCCATGAAGGCTCACCTGGAAGGGAAAGGGAAGCGAGGTTGGGGCTGTATCTCTTTGGCCCCAATCAAATGTTTCCTCTTGCTTTTGGATCTATACAATGCAGTTACCACATTTTCTTTCCTTTTTTTATTTTAAAGATGTGGGGTACAATTCAGGGTTAGGTATACAAATACTCACTATCCATGCTCATGGATTGGAAGAATTAGCAGTGTTAAGATGTCCATCCTACCCAAGGCAATCTATCAGATTCAATGCAATACACATTAAATTACCAGCATCATTCTTGTCAGACCGGGAAACAACACTGCAGAGACATCCAGTAGAAGGGGTGGGGATTTATGTTTCTCAATGTTTCTCTCAATAAGAAACCATCAAGCGAGCAGTGAGAAAGCCCACAGACTGGGAAAAAGTATTTGCTAACTCCAGGTCCAATAAAAGCTTAACATCTTGCATCTACAAGGAACTCGAACGTGCTGAAAAGAAAAAACAAACCGGGCTCGGTGGTTCAGCCTGTAATCCCGCGCCTTTGGGAGGCTGAGGTTAATGGATTGCCTGAGCCCGCGGGTTCGAGACCCACCTGGGCAGGCGAGACCTCATCTCTACAATAAATCAAAAAATTAGTCAGGTGTGGTAGCGCGTGACTGTAATTCTGGCTACTCGGAAGGCTGAGGAGGAAGGATCACCGGAGCCCAGCAGGTCGAGGCTGCGGTGGTCGGGAGCAGCCACTGCACTCCAGTCTGGGCGACAGAGTGAGACTCCAACTCAAAAAAAAAAGAAAGATAAGAAAAAACAAAACAAAAAACAAACAACCAAACAAGAAACAACCCCATTATAAAGTGGGTAAAAGATATGAGCAGATACTTCTCAAAGGAAGACATCCAAGTAGCCAACAGACACATGAAGAAATGTTCAACCTCACTAATCATCAAGGAGATGCAAATCAAAGCTACACTGAGATACCACCTAACTCCAGTCAGAATGGCAATTATCAATAACTCGAAATGTAACAGTTCTGGAGATGGTGTGGTGAAAAGGGAACACATCTACACTGTTGGTGGGAGTGCAAACTAGTGCAACCTCTTTGGAAACCAGTGTGGCAATTCCTAAAAGCTCTAAATATCGAACTCCCATATGACCCCGCAATCCCCCTACTGGGAATATGCTCTGAAGAACTCAAATCACTATAAAAAAGATATCTGCACATGTATATTTATCACAGCATTGTTCACAATAGCAAGAAGCTGGAATCAACCATGCTGTTCATCAAAACAGGACTGGATTAAAAAAATGTGGGACATATACACGATACAATACTACATAGCCATAAAAAACAACAAAATCATGAATTTCACATCAATCTGGATGGAATTCGAATGTATCATACTGAGTAACCTCTCACAGAAACAAAGATCTGAGTATCACATGTTCTCACTCATATAGCGGACCTTGAACATCTATCATAATATTGTAAGTAAAGGATTGACAGTGGTGGGAAACTATGGGAGTGGGGGAGGGAGAGGAAGGGAGGTGGGATTAATGGTATTCAATATCTGTCTGGGGATGGGGAGACATCCCTTATCAACAAGGTTGCCTGAACGAGGAATATTTGTACACCTACCCCTTAACTGTACCCTACAATATCAAAAAAATATTGATAAAAAAAAACTACCAGCATCATTCTTGTCAGACCTGGAAACCACAATGGAGAGACATCCAGTAGAAGCGGTAGGGATTTATATTTCTCAATGCTTCTCTCAGTGAAAGGGTCCAGATGTCCAGGATATTCCTGCAGATAGCAGGAGTGTACAGGAATTAGAAGATTTACCAGACATAGATATTCAGTGATGCTAGGAATGGTGATCATCTACCTCTAAAAGTCAATGCTTCTTGTAGCCCCAAGGCAAGGATGTATTTTGCTCGATAATTTTTTCTTGAATAAAGATGGTAGAAAGGCCATTTCATATAAAGAAATGTTTAATCAAGTCACGTCAGCGTTATAAAGATTCTCCAGTCACATTAAATTCAGAGATAAATAGTAATATGTGATCAAATGGCTTATTTATGAACTAGCAGAAAAGGCAAATAATTCAATGTGAGTATTTGCAGGCGCCTGAATTTTGGCAAAGTATTTAATCTATACACATCTCAGGAAGTAATGATATGGGGAAATTTTTCTCCAGCCTCTCATTGATCCCTAACTATGTCCTTCAACACTTTTAGGGGCCTAAAATAAGAGGACCCTGAGAATGTTGAAGGTGGATGCCAGGTGGAGGACTGACATTTGTGAGAATGTAGCCAGCATTTCCTCCCAGGTTGAGCACCATGGACAGGGACCTCACCTCATCCTCTTATTTGCGTACAAGCTCAGTGCCCAGAGGCATATCACAAGTCACACAGAAGAAGCCATAGTACACATTTACGTGTACATGGCTTTCCTCATCTTATAAATGATTTTCTTGAAGTCATGACCTCAGCCTTAAGAACATGAAACACCTGTGGTTCTTCTCTCTAAGGGCAGCGCCCAGAAGAGAGTATCTTATATAAGGATATAAAGGTGCTTCACATAAGCACATGAATCACTACGGCCCTTTCTGTCTCCAGCATCCTTTCACAGGTGCTGCTGCAGAAGTTGACATATATAGTGAAAAGGGAAAAATAGTTATCCTTATGTCCTGGCAGTTTTGTATAAATATCTCTTCTTCAATTCTCCTGCCTTGTCAGACAAGTTACTATAAACAGTCAGAAATAAGCAAAATACTTCTTGAATATTTGCTTTGAAACTTCCTCAGCTAAATATCCAATTTCATCACTCTAATGTTCTACCTGCCACAATACAACAGAAAGCAAATTCAACTCACTCAAACTGTTTGACAATTTATTACAATACATTTCTTCCCTCCAGTACCCAATATTGTGGTCCTCATTTTCACCAGAGATTCACCAGAAGTACCTTCAATGTCCATATTTCTACCAACAAACTGATTATTCTTACGTGTGTCTTCTGTATGTAACGGAGACTTACTCTACTGCTCAACTCTTTATTTTGTGAACCCTCATCAGACTCAACATTCATATCTATATTTGTCTACTTTGTTTAGTCCTTTCTAAGCATTTTTTCATTCACCTCAAAAACATTTTATACTCTACCCATCTCCCTGTTCCAAATAACATACATATTGTAGGCATTTGTTTCAGAAGCACTTCATTTGTCAGTACCATAAACTGTCTCAGGCAGCTTGGGTGCCATAATAAAATGCCAAAGGTGGGGTGGCTTAAATATCTGAATTCATATCCTTGGTGTTCTAGAAGTAGGAAGTACAAGATCAAGATGATATAGAAGGTACTTTGTTGATATTTTCCTATTGCAGATTTCAGCTTGCCAATGGTGTTCACATGTAATGGAGAAAAGCGGGGGAGACCTTCCTCTAAAAAATAAAAAATATTTTAAAACTACGATCTCACATTTATTATCTCCTTTAAACTTAATTACCTCCTTTCCTGGAGCTAGGGGGTTCAGTATAAGAATTTTGTGGGAATACAATTCTGTCCATATCAAGCCTACATTTTCATTTTCTGTGAAGTACATTGGATAGGCAGAAGGAAATAAAGCGCCCTCCTGATGCCAAAACTTCCAGAAGGCAGAGCTGATGTAATGCCCACAGAGATGAACCGCTACCTCTCACAGGGGACCTTGTCCTGGAGGTCTGGCCCAACCAGGGAAGGTGAAGTCTCTTCCATTTGCATACAAGCTCAGTGCCCTTCCCTGAATCCCACTTGGGAACAGCTTTTTCATTCTTGTATCTTGAGTTTAAGGAGTACAGTTCCTGTTCCAGGTGTGCAGAGCCAGGGTAGCTACTGTATCTAACTCAAGGGGTGGAGATACACTTCAGAACATGACAGCACTTGAGAAACAACCAGCTCTCACCTGTTGTACTTTCTGAATTTCAGGTCTGTTGGAAGAAAATTGAGTTTATTGAGATGTTCTCTTCAGTGTCCTACTTGGGCTTTCCTCTGTGTCTCCACACATTCAGTTACAGTTCAGATGTCACTCATGCGTAGTGACACAAAATGCCTGCTTTGAGTAACAGATCAAAGATCATCTCCCCGGATACATGTGGGGTTTGCTACAACATGGAAACATCGCCAAAGTCATCATCCCCACCTTTCCCTCAAGTAATGTCTATCTAGCCCGAGCATAGTGGCTCACACTTTGGCTGGCCGTGGTGAGAGCACTGCCTGAGCCCATGGGTTTGAGACCAGCCTGGGAAACTTGGTGAGACCTCCCCTCTACAGTAAGTCAAAAAATTAGCCAGGCATGGTGGTGCGTGCCTATAATTCCAGCTACCCGTAAGGCTTAGGATGGAGGACTGCCTGGACCCAGCAGGTAGAGGCTGTGGTGACCATGAGAGTGCCACTGCACTCCAGCCAGGGCGACAGAGTGAGACTCTGACTCAAAAAAAATAGAAAAAGAAGATTGTCTATGCAAAATTTAGTCATTTTTTAAATTTATCAAAGAATTGCAATTCTGGGAATAACCTGAGAGACAGGCACATACAAAATCACAGGAGAAAGCTGCTTCTTTGCACCAGGCACTTCTGGAGCTTCAAATCATTGGAGTCAGCTACAGGATAATGACTGTGAATGTCGGAAGGGGTAACCTAATTTGCCTAATTTAGAAATGATTTCTTTGCACTTATAATCAGTCCTACTCTCTCAGCAATTGCGTGCCAAACGTTTTATAAGCATCCCCACATT